GCCGCCTTGAGCTGTCAGAAACTATGTTAATATTTGTTCAAGGCTTTATAGGCCAGGATTAAGGCCTAGTCAGGCAGAGGGCTCAGAAGAACCTGACTAGAGTTTGGTCAAGGAGAGAATCTTTGTCACCACGTCATTAATGGGAAAATCCAAAACATCAGTAAATCCTGAGGGCTCTATCTTAAAAATAGAAAATAATCTCACCACTTCTCACCATCTCAACTGCTACACCCTGGTAAGTCACCATCCTCTCTAAATTACCAACAGATTGCTCACAGATCTCCTTGCTTCTACACTAACCCCCTTCAGTCTATTGTCAACGCAGCTGAAAGAGTGATCCTTTAAAAATTAGGTCATATCACGTCCCCCTAAGGCTCCAAATCCTTCAGTGACTTCTCATCTCACCTTATACCCAGAGTATAAAAGAGAGTCCTTACAATGGCCTGTAAAGGCCCACGTGATCTGCCCCAATGGCCCTGCTTTGTAACCACGCTTACAACTTTCCCTCTTGCTCAATCCACACCAGACTCTCTGGCCTCCTTGCTGTTCTTTAAACAGTTCATCAGCCTTCTGCCTTAGGACCATAGCTCTAGTTCTACCTGGAATATTCTTCCTACAGATAACTACATAACTACATGTCCAACTCATTCATGAACTATAAGTCTTTGCTCAAACCTCACCTTTTTAATGAGGCTACTTTGAGCCTCCCATTTAGTACTACAACCTACTCTGTTACCTCCCTAGCCCTGCTTCTGTTTTCCTTTTGTTCCACAGCATTTATCATCTTCTAATATACTATATATTTTATTATCTTTACTTATTGACTTTTCTCCCTGATAGAATATAAACTCCAGAAGGACAAGAATATCCCTCCCCATCTTGGTGCAATTTTTTCTGTCTAAACTAGCACTACTTTATAGATGCTCAATAAATATTTGTTGAATAAATGAATTACTCTTTGTAAGTGAAATTTCTTAGTGATATAAAATAAGCTCCACTGATGTCTTTTATTAGCTGGTATGTCTTTTTATAGTATTTGGCATATAAATGATTTCTATGAGAGAGGAAGGCTCTGGCTCTGGAACTGAAGTTTGCTGAGAAGCAGTAAGACTTTTACTCTTCTTTTTCATGTTCCTATCTCCCCACCTCCCCACCCCCCTATTCATATAGACGGAGAGAGAAAATGAGGTGGCAACAGACAGGAAAGGGAAACATAATTAATTTAGTGTTTAGGTAAATGTACTGGTTAATTGAATATCTAAATTTATGAGAAGACCAAAGGCCTCCAAGATTTAGAAGAAATACCATAAGTAGACATAATCATGAAAGCTTTATGGTCACCAGAAAGCATGTATCCTATGTAAGATAAGTAGATTGGCTAATCCTACTCAAAACCATGCATTTCTTGTCTATTTCTCTAGTTATTGGTGTGCAATTTTTCTACTTCTTAAACCCTTTCCTCTTACAGTGTAAATAATTTTTATTATACTTTGAAATCCTGTGGTTAGGGGTGGGAAGAAGGGGAAATGCATTGTTTAAGAGACCACATTCTGCAGCCAAACTGCCTGGGTTCTAATCTCAGCTTTGCTACTAACTCTGCAACTATGGGTAAGTGACATACAACTCTCCACCTTACTTTTCACATTTGTAAAATGAAGATAATAATAGTATATATATGATAGAGTTGTTTTGAGGAATAACACCTTATAACATACAGTGCCTGTTACATAGGATTCACTCTATAAATAGCTATTTTTATAGAATTATGGAGTATTTTCTGAAAAGAAAAATATATAATTTAAAATTGTTTTTTATAGAATACATTTTCATAAAATGATATTGTTCAGAGCCAGCCCTGATGGCCTAGTGGTTAAAGTTCGGTGCACTCCACTTATGTGGCCCGGGTTTGGTTCCTGGGCACGGAACGACACCACTTGTCTGTCAGTAGCCATGCTGTGGCAGCGGCTCACATAAAAGAATTAGGAGGATCTACAACTAGAATGTACAACTGTGTACTGGGATTTTGGGGAGGAAAAAAAATGATATTATTCATACAATACTTAATTATGGAAGCAAATTTTCATTACTATTATTAAAAAAAACCTATTTATAGGCTCATTTTAACTTTTAAATTCCTATATTTTTTATATATAATTTATAATTTGAAATACTAGGTTTAGAGAGGGAGAAACGCTGCAGACTGTGGTGCTGAAAGTTCTCTCTGTATCTCATATGGTAGTGTACAGGAGGTAAAATAATTTTCCCTTTACCATCTAAGTTCTTGCCTGAGAGACCTGTAATAAAAAACAGATTCACAAGAGAAAAAACCCAGAAGTTTACTATCATGTGTTCTCATGCATGCATGGGAAATACCCAGGGAAAAATGAGTAACTCTCAGAGGTGTCTTTGAATTCCAGCTTAAATACCATCTTCAGATAAAGAGGAAAGAAAGAAAGGTATGGGGGAGACTAGCTATGGGGAGGTTACCTGGAAAAGCAGGATAAACAAATGTAAGGTTTGTTATGCAGATTTAAGTCCCTGCCTTCTCCATTAATAAGGGTCTAAAGTTGTCTCAGAGTATTAATCTTTGTCCTTCCTGGTAGAGAGGGTTGGAGGGACTTGTAAATTTATGTCTTGCTTTTAGGCAAATAGAGGGAGAGCAGAGAGCTTTTCTTGTATCTGCTTCTCAATTGCCTTCAGGTCAAATAATCTTTATGCAAAGTGACATATTTTGGGGTGGCATATTCTGCTACCCTTCAGTAGGAACTTCCCTGGGTAGCTCTCTCAGAAAGAGATACATTGCTAAGAACTGTGAAGGATCTGATATTTTATCCTACTTGCATGCTAACAAGTAGCCTGCCACAGTTTCATAGAAGTTGACAGAAGGAATGAGATTCATCTGTCAGAGACAAAGAACTTTATTATTCACAGCACAACAGGCAGCATGAGCTTCAGGCTCTCATTGATTCCCCTTGCTCCCAAGTCCCACAGAGAGAAATGGAGCCACTAGGCAGGTGCTGCACAAGCAGTGCGTTTGTATCAGAACAAGGAACTCTGAGCTTATGAAAGTCCTGCTAGCAAACCTACCCAAACTTTGCCCTGGAGCGAGAGATTTTTTTTGTTATCCTGCAACAAATCTCTCTGCCCTTGAGGGAAATACTATCGCTATCTTTGAAACTATATGTGTAAAAATGCAAAAGACCCATAGAGACTTGACTTCCAACAAACACAAATGTAATGCATCAGTAAGGCTATTATGATGAATGGAAGATGCACAAAAATTCTGACCAGAGATTTAGACTAACATTCTAAATGTAAAACTCTCAATCCTCTCTGAGAATTTCTTTGAATATATAGTTAATCAATTAGAATAAAACTTTGCAACAATTTGTTTTGCTGTGTAATCCTTTATCCCTTGATGCTTTAATGAGTCATATATTCTTTCCTCTTATCAAGTAGGTTTTACCATCACCCTCCATTTATTCATTTATGCCAATAATTTAACCTTATTGGCTAAGGTATTTCTTTTTTTTTTTTTTTTTTAAAGATTTTATTTATTCCCCCCAAAGCCCCAGTAGATAGTTGTATGTCATAGCTGAACATCCTTCTAGTTGCTGTATGTGGGACTCGGCCTCAGGATGGACGGAGAAGTGGTGCCTCGATGCGCACCCGGGATCCGAACCTGGGCCACCAGCATTGCGGCGCGCGCACTTAACCACCAAGCCACAGGGCCGGCCCTGGCTAAGGTATTTCTTATCATGTTAGAGGAACTAACGCACATTTTCTCAAGAGTGGCTTGTATGTTAGCAATCTTCCTTTTTCTCTGCCTCTTCCTGATAAAATTAGGTTTCACAAGGTTCAACATGTTCTTCTGTAAGGTAGCTGAGCAATAGTTACTCAGCTTTGCAAGGTTGATTTCCTCTGCAAATAGGTGGTTAACACTTTTTTCCCACATCTTTATTTTTAAAAAATGTTTTAATGGTTGTTGTACTCTTCAGAGATAACTCAAAATAATATCATCCTGGTCTCTTTAAACTAAAGTTACAACTCTCCTACCCTTTGGGGTGTGTGTGTCTGTGTCCTGTCTTTTCAAAGCTGATGCTACAAAATTCATTTGAGTTCTAGAGAAAAGCAGAACTACTTATTTACTCAATTACTATTACTTAATAAATCAAAAAAACTGAGCATTTAACTTTCCATCGAGTGATAAAAACCAAGCTGTTCTTCTCCGTGAGTATAATCAGGAGGCACATCTTAAGAGTTTGCCCAAAGGTTGAATCATCAGCAGGGTGATTCAGGACTCCTGTATATTACCAGCGTATAAATAGAGAATCATTTTTTAGCAAGTGCATGTCTCCTGCTATATTTGAGACATGCTTATATTAAAAAAAATGCATTGTTCATTTGAAAATGAAATTTAATTGGACATCCTGTACTTTTATTTGCTAAACCTGGCTACTCTAGACACCATTTATTTACCAAACAAACCACAAATAACCTTTCGGTAAAATTTAGCGTCAAGTAGGTTTTATTTGGCTCAGAAGCACTCCCCTGGGGGCAGAGGTCAAGGTTTCAGTTTTGATGATGTGACATCAACGCCATGCAAAAACAAAAAGTAACAACAAAAAGTAACTCTGCAAGTTTTGAAATGTATAGATGTGTATTTGGAAGTCCAGCTCAAAAGAGCAGAGGGGTAGGTTAAAGGAATTCATGGATGGGCAGTTTCAGGTTTCTAAAAGGAGAAAAGAAACCTTGGCTTGCAAGGCCTTTCCAAAGAGGGTGGAAATTACCGCGGCAAAGGCTTTTTCGCGGTTTAGTGAGGAGAGAGCGCGAGACCTGAGCGAGCCAATAGGAGCCGAGCAAGAAAGGTTTGGGCGCGTAAAGCCAATCAGAGACGAGATGGGTGGGACTAGACTCCGGGAAGCGGTGGCCTACGGCAGTGTGGGCGTCGAAGGGCAAGACTCAGCCAATAGGAACCGAGCAGGGCGGGGCCGGACTGCTGGAGAGGGCGGTCTCGGGGAAGTGAACCGTGCGGCAAGCGTGCTTTCAGCCCCACCTGCAAAAGCGCCTGCGCCTGCGCCTTTCTCCCAGCAGGGCAGACGCGGACTCGGAGGGTGACGGGAGCTCGCTCGGCTCGTCATGGCCTACCCGGGATACGGAGGAGGGGTGAGTCCCGAACACTGCGCCGCGGCCTCCGCCCCCTCAGGGAGTGGCGCCCCTACCGGCGGTGCCAGCGTGCCAGGTCCCTGCTTCCCTCGCTGGCCTCTGGTACCCGGCGGCGCCGGCGCTCCGCGCGGTGCTGGAAGCTGGGTCGGGGCCGAGCGGGGAGCCTCAGGTGTTCTGGTCCCTGAGGCCCCTTCCGCGCGTCCTTGTGGAGCCAAGGGTGTGGTGCGCTTTTAAAAATTTCTTTCCTGGAATGGAGGAGCAAACACTCTTTTCTTGTTCCAGTAATGTTTTGTGGTCCACTCCCCCCCGCCCCCGCTCCGTTTTGCTAGAGATCCTCTTTCAGAATTTTTGACCACTTCTTGTTTTCTGTCCTTTAAGTTACATACGAATAAATTAAGATATGCTAAATGTCTCCTTATCTTTACTGTTCTACCAAGGGCAGTCTGTTCTAGACTGTTTTGGGGAGGTGGGGAGGATTATTCTTCCTTACATAACTGTTTATCTGCATCACCTTTGAGAGGTGGAAGTCGTAATTGTAGTATCGTAGTGGCTTGCTTTTTCTTCTTAGAAAAGAGCCCAAACCGTCAGTATTTATGTCAGTGATCTCCAAAGTGGGATGAGCCCAGTTTGTTTACAAAATGGGCGTGCGGGATGATCCATTGGGGGTGTGGGTAGAAAATAATATATTTTCTATTTTTATTTCTATTTGTTTATACCTAGAAAGAAAAATTGAACTTTACTAATATTTAATATAGGACTTAACACTGTCATATGGCAGTGGTCTTCAAAGAGTTACTCAGAGCCTTGGGAGTACTTGGGAATTTTTTTTTTAAGAGAATGAATTTCCAGACCCTCAACATCCACACATACTCGGTCCTAAAATTATTTGCTTGAAAACTTGCCAGAGTTTCCCCTGGAGTCTTCCACTTTACAAAGTCTACCCCTCATCAGTCCTTAAACTTACTAAGGAAGTTTAAGATGCCTAAGGAAGATAAACCCTCCCTCAAAGATTAGTCAAGGTAGCATAAACCCAAGGGGCTTTTAAAATTTCCCTATCTTCTACATATTTTCACTAGGGTGAAGCTTGCTGTTAGAAAGTAAGTATTTTTATAACTGTTTTATGTTCTGAAGTCATATAGGTGGTAGAATGGGGTGGTGCAAGTAACAATTTTTCATTTGAAGAAGTTGCTACTTCTTTACCCACATTTTTGTCAGAGTGCTTGTATCTGATGGCGACTTCCACAACAGCAAAGAGTACGCCTGTATGTGTTGTGAACATTTAAATACCCTTTACCATTTATTTAAATGTAGCAGCTCTTTTCAGCTGTTCTCACGCTCATCGTTAGTAAATAGCTGGAAGGAAGAGTACCCTCAAACAGCTGAAGCATATAGATTAGTGAGACTGATTCTTTTAAATGTAATGGAAATATTTTCAGATGTATTGGATAAAATTTACAAATAAAACATATGATTTCTTTACTAGGAATATATTCATGAGGTACTTAGAACTGTTTTATAAATCACATTAATTATAGTCAATCTGCCTCTTATTAATGTTTCCTAGGTTCTTTTAACAAAATATAAAATATGTTAGCTGATGGACCTATTTATTTTGATAGTATACTTTTATCTAATTAAGTGCATGATTCATCTCATTAGGAAATGCATTTCCAATAAATTTTGTCTTTCTTGTTTAATAATTGTTTATCAAAATTGTAATATATATATATTTACTTATTGTGTACTAATAAAAATTATAATCTAAGGAGAATTTTTTTCTCTGTTTCTCATGGCCACAGGAAATGAAACAAAATTCAAAATTTCAATTTTTATACATAGTTTTATTTTAGGTAAGTATGACAAAGTGATCAGTATTTTCAAACATAAAAATACATTTTAAGCATAAAAAACTTACACGGATGAGATATTCATGGAAGAAATAGAATAAAAGATGAGTTCAAATAGTAAAAGGAAAAATGTAAAATTTCTAAATGTTACAGAAGAGCCTTTTCAAAAATGGATGGGAGCAGGTATCAGATCATTATAGTGTGTAGATAACAGAGGATGCTTTCCAAAGAGTGATGTAAAAGTTTATTTGTAAATGTCAAGATTTACAGTATGTTGGGCATTGCATTTTTTATAACTGTTCCAACTTTAGATAAAAACTTCATATGTCAACATAAAATACGAGGAAAGGTATATAATGTAAAAAAAGTTTTTAGGGATAGGGAAGCAAAGTGTTTGAAGAACACTGACATAGGTACAGATGGTATCCTGAGGGATGAAGTGGAATTCGTACATTGGCCTCTCGTTTCCTTTCAGCCTATAGTGACTTATTCCAGTTTATATGTGCAGAGTTCTCTGGGGTTACAGATTAGATGATCTAGTTTAAAATAACCCTCACAAAATGGACAAGTAGTTTGAAAATTTCTGGGAAGAAACTAGGGATTGAAGGTAATACTAAAGATTTAAAAATGTGCAAAACAACATGAAAATGACATCACTGATACTTTTTAAGTCCAAGCTTTTCTTTAGTCACATCACCAGGTAATAACAATGATGATCTAATGATCAGTTTTGACTCATTTGAAACTATCAAGAAGACAACCTGAAATATGAATTTATATAAACTATTTTTAGAGGTTAACCTTGTTGGCCGGAGGCCCCAGTTCCCCTTCGCATGGGCCCTTCTGCATGGGTCTTGGGCTTTGTGCTGGCCGTGTTCTATGAGAGAGAAACAGAAGCTGCCAGTCCTCTTACAGTCTTAAGCCTGGAACGGACATGGTGCAATTTCTACTCCATTCTACCAGATGAAGCTGAAATAGGCCCAGCCCAGGTTCGAGGGAGTGGAGAAATAGTCTTTGCCTTTGCATGGGAGAAGTGGCAAAGAATTTCCAACCGTCTTTAATCTGCTCACTACTAGGCTCTCACATTTTTGGATTTTGGGGAAGTTAATGCTGCAAGTCAGGGAGGAAAGGTAGGTAGAAGGTCAATTCTAAAGACAGATTCTTCATATAATACAGCTTGCCTGACTGATTAAAAAACAAGTGTGTTGAACCCTCAAGACACAAATGGAGATGCCACAGTAGAGGATCCATACCGAGTCATTTGATACCACCTCCACATTAACTTTTCACAAATATCGTTCCGTTTAGTTTGGCTTCCCTTCTCATAAAAAGTTTTTCAATTTTTCTTTCTTATGTGAAGCTCAAGGTGGCAAGAGTCTCAATAAGCCTTCAATTCTTGGATATGTCCGTGGCCTTGATTACTTTCTGTGGAGGCCTGGGACCTCCATATAGCAATAGCAGAAGCCTCGCTGTTTGTTGTTGCTGTATGCTCTTAGAGCGAAAGCTGAGCTGGGAGTTTTGCTAATCTGGGTTTAGATTTGTTCTCTAAACAAAAGGTTTTGGCCACCTCGTTGAGCACATTTCCTGGCGCTCCAGTACTTCATACGTTTGCCTGTGACGACAGCCCACGCTGCAGCTTCTCAACCTGCTACAAAAGGCTCCCACCTTTTGTCTCTTCCCCCCCAGCTTATACTTAGAATTCTTTTCTCTTTTTGCCTTCTGGCAATCTCTGCTCATCCTTCAAGGATGCAGGTCAAGAGGATTTTTGTTCAAAATTGGATAACGAACCATTTTGATACTTCTTCCTCTCCAGACTCATAAAAATACTGAGTAAAATGCCTTTCTGCAGTATTACAAATGTGTACGAAGTTCCAAAGTGAAAAGAAGGGAGAAATGAGAGCTCTAGCAGGAAACAAAGGGATCAGCCTCTGAGGTCAGAGTCTATTTGAATCATGGTCTACTTCTTACTAGTTATTTGACCTTAACCAATTCAGGAAACTTCTTAAAGTTTCAGGTCCTCAGCTGCAAAAAGGAGGTAGTACTTTCGTACCTCGGAGAGTTGTTGAAAGATCAAATTACATAATAGGTGGAAAGTACTTAGAACATACCTGTACCTGGGATATGAAAAGCTCTCAATAAATACTAGCTGTGTGTTATTGTTGGTATTCTTGTGTTTTGAAGAGGACCATTGTTGGAATTACCACTTTATTGATCTGTTCATTGTTATCTTGCTGTTTTAAAAATAAATATTTCCTGGCGGAGAGTGTTTTTCAGCCCTGTGCAGCTTCCCACAGTTAGGTCACAGTTTCATTGTATTTACCATGTATTCTTCAAATTATGTGCCTTGAGGTATACTACTACTTAGTTTTACTGTAGGTGACATTTTCTTATATTTTTTACTTTTGGTTTATTTCAGTGATGATGATGGTAAACACTTTTTAAAATTGTGCCTCATGTTCATCTGTTAGGTTAAGTGCTTAGAGGCTAGAGACTTCTTTTTTCTTTTACAGTTCTTTTAATGCTGGATAACATGTTACTGAACTGAATTATGTCCTAACGTAGGACATCTAGTATTTTGTAGCTAATAGCTTTTGTGATAGTGAATTTGGAAGCTTTCAGTAACACTGTTCTTGCTTTTCAATGGACTTCTCATAAATATTTTCTTTTAAGCCAACTTTAATGGGTAATAGGTAATATTTGTATTAATAACCTTCTCCTTTTTCACTCTTATAGTTTGGAAATTTTAGTGGTCAGATGCCAGGAATGCAGATGCAAATGGGACAGTCAGTGCCAGGAACAGGGCCAGCTGTGCCCCCTGGTGGATACCCCGGATACCCACCGTATCCAGACAGTTATTCCTCAGCAGGAGATCCCATGTGGACGTACTTCACTGCTGTTGCTGGACAGGTGAGCTGCTAAATACATTGCACAAATATTAGTTTTAAAAAATGATTGCTATTTAAAAGAAATGTCAACTCTTTTACTTAGTGTTTTATTTTAAATGTATATGAAATTTGTATTTTAAACTTATCTAGACTAATTTTCTTCCTGAGATCAGAGATGAGGGTAGTCATAATTATTTCATTTTTAAAAGTGTATTAGTATGATGCCTGACACAAACTAAAAGAGGAAACAGGGTGGTGCGTGGAGACTGAGCCAGAGAGGATTTGGACAAAGAGATCTACATGTAAATCTCCTTGAGGAAGCTGGGCCAGAGTACCAGAAAGGAGACTTGTAAATCATGGATGGGTCTGGGAGAGGGTAGATGGTGAAACAGATCAGGAAGAGGTAAAGAAAACAGGCCAGAATGGAGGTTCAAATACCAGACTAATGAGCAGAGATGGAGAGTCACACGTGAGTCCTAGTTACCATCCATATCTTCTTTTTTACTGGTCAAGAAAAATTTATTGAGTACTTAGAATTTTGTAGAACTCGGATAACATTTTTCCTTCATTATTCATTCACTTAAGTGTTCACTAGGTCCCGTATGCTTAGCTAGCAATAGAGCATATGCACAGAATTATTACATGTGGCAGACACTGTGTTTTGGCTACCCCAATTCCATTCACAACCTCCCTTTCCCTTTCTTTTCTGTGGTAGAGGTGGAAAGCCCAGTGCTCACCATCACAGACACCTTTGTAACTAGTAAAGGTAGCCATGTGCTATAGGACTGACCATGAGGTGTAGGTGCAATTTCTTTGGGATGCTTTCCTTTACCAAATGAGAAAGTCCTTCCTGAAAACTAGCATTGCCCTTTTGCTCCTTCAGTCTTCCTGCCTGGAAAGGGAACTTGAGGTATAGAAGTACAGCAGCTATTTTATGACCTTGAGGCAACAGACTTGAGATAAAGGCCTCTGGTTGGGGAATGTGGAAACATGTGAAGAGATTGATGGCATCATTAAATTTGCCATACAGTCCTGTTCTGCCTAGCCCCAGACTTCTTGTATAAAACAGTAAACGTTTATTGGTTTAAGCCTCTTTAATAGCATTTTCTATTTTTTGAAGCTAAATGCAATCCTGTTAATGTTATACCATTCTTATCTGCAAGGAACTCTTAAGTAGTATAATACTGGAAATAAGTCTTTTATCTATAACTAACTATATAATAAATCTATTTTATAAAATTACAATTTAAAACATAGGAACTGGATGTATATATTTAGAGACTTTTATTTGACTTCTAAACTATTTCAGTGTTAGCAGTTGTCAACAAAAATTTGCTATGTTTATACTATTTGACACTTTCCTTAAATTTTCCATAGTCTCATGCTTTTGAATAATTAAATGCCGTGAGGACATGGCCCTTGTTATTCTGCCTTACCAACTAGACACTAGGAATATATTAGTCATTCAGTAAATGTGTTGAATGGATGCATAAACTATCTAGTTGTCCATTTTTAGTCTAAATATTTAGACAATTCTTTTATATGTTGAATTTTGCTTAGCTTTAAAGAATCAGGTATAATATTAGACTTATGCATTATGATCCTAGAACCCAACTGTGGAATTCACCTCTGCAGCTGTATTCTTTTTTGATAGGCCTCATAATTAATGATGCTCAATGAGAAGGGTCCAGTTAAAGGTTTCTGCAGTGTCCCTTTTTATAGGATGACGTTTTCTGAACAGTAATGATTCAATCATCAGATGGTTTGGGGAAATGCTCGGTTGTGCATTCATAAATAGACACACACACACATACACACACACACACACGCATCTCAATAATACCAACAGCTTTAGCTTGAGTGTGCACACTGCTTGCTGTTTTCCACCCAGCAGCTCTATGAGGTAGGCGGGATGGATGTACCATAGATGGATCCATAGATGGATCAATGGCGATTAAGATTAACTGAACAAATAGAACTTGAGTATCATTTCAAAATGTTGCTGCCTATCAGTTAACCTTACCAATGGCATTGATTTTTGTTAGTTATCTACCTAAAGCTCTTATTATTTAATTAGAAATTGCAATTTTCTACCACTAAATGCTATGTAATTTAGTTGAAGGTTTGTATAGTTGATCATGATCATCAGCTCAAACTGCAGGTAAAGAGATCCAAAATGATCACTTGGATTTTCTCCATATAGTTAGGAAGACATTGCTTATTAGTCAGTCAGTCAATTAAGATAACATGTTTTCACAAAATGTATGAAATTTGAGTATGAAGTAGTGTACTAGGAGAATGCTTTCTGATGGTGATAAATAACTTTTAGCAAAGCTATTCAGGTAGTTTTTCTGACTTCAAAAATTCTGTAAAAAGCACATATAAAATCAAATTTCATTCATTAATTAGATTTTAGATTTTTAAGTTTAATTCACACTGGAACGAGAAATTGTAATATTTTCAACCTTTTGAAATAGTAAATGAACATGAGCAGAAACTTTCAGAAATGACTGTAGTTTAACCAAGAACCAGTGGTAATTGTCTTCATTCTACCAAACAACTAACGTGCTTTGTACTAGATACTGTGCTAGGGTTGGGGATGCAAAGATGAATGAAACTCGAACACTGACCTAGAAGATCTCTGTCTAGTCAGGGAGGAAGACAGGTAGGAAATGATAATAATATAGGGAAAGAAGTGCTGAAGGTGAATGGGTAAAGATTATAGCAACACCAGGAACGTCCTCTGACCTTCACACTTGTTCTCTTTGCCTAGAACAGCACTGTCCAAAATAGATATAATGTGAGCAACAAATGCAAGCCACATGTGTAGTTTTAAAGCCTCAAGCAGTACACTTTAAAAAGTAAAAAGAAATAGGTGAAATTAATTTTAATCTATATTATTTAACCCAATAAATCAAAAAATACTAACATATCAATATAAAACTTTTTAATAAGATAGTTTACCTTTTTTCATTACTAAGTCTTGGAAATCTGGTGTGTATTTTACACTTGGAAGAACATCTCAGTTCAGACCAGCCACATTTAAGTGCTCAGTGGAACATATGGCTAGTGGCTACTGTATTGGACAGCTCAGGCCTAGAACACTCTTCTCACATGTCTGCATAGGTTGCTCCTTCACTTTCTTTCGATCTTTCTCAAAATTCACCTTGTCGGTGAGGCTTTTCGTAGCCATCTATATAAAATGGTATTTGCCGCCTCCACAACGCCCATGCAATGCTCCTTAGCGCCTTCACTGCCATGTTTTTTCCCTTAGCACTTACTACCATCAAATGTAATTTCTGCCTTATTGACTCTCTTCCACCACTGAAATGCAAGCTCTGTGAAGGCGAGGGATTTGTTTTGGACACTCTGATACCTAGTCCATTTAATGGTGCTTGAACATAGTAGGTTGCTCAATACATCTTTGTTAAATGAATGAATTTGTTATTCTTTCTAAATGAAAGATATTTGTTCATTTATATCTCTACATTTTCTTAACATACTTATTTTAATGATTGCTATATAAAATTAATTTCATCTTGTATGGATTTGTTCTAAAATTGTTGATTTCTTGTTGGCTGTCTTTCTGAATATTAGATTTTTCCACAGATTTTGGAATTTTGGTTTGTAAACTTATTTCACGTGGAGTTTTTGTTTATTTCCAACCTCCCTCTTTTTGTCTGCTTCCATGTCATCCCTTCCTCTCCTCATGCCACCCTTCCCTATTTGGTGGTTTTGTGATTGTCCCCACCTGGATAGTGTCCAATCAGAGTTCATCATAGTTCAGGGCTCCTGCCCGGTGGCGATGATGCAGATCCCATCAACAAGCTGGGGGCAGCCTGGTTTAGCATTTTAGTCCTGCTTTCCTGAGCCTTCAACTTCTCAGAAGTGATATCATCAGATAGAAGTCCGCAGTATGTTTTGCTTGTTTCGTTTTGCCTCCTGTCATGAGTAGGGAGCCCCATCCCACTTCCTGCATTCCAGCAGTGAGACACATTCCTGGATGTCGTGTGAAGTCCTTCGAAGCAAACTCCTTGCCCCTACTGCAGATCTGCCCTCCCTCTACTTCCTAGTTTTTGCTTCTATGTAATGTATCCAAACACAATTTAGGGTTGGAATTTAGTATATATAAATTAGCTTCATACCTTTTTTTTTTTTTTTGATGAGGAAGATTGGCCCTGAGCTAACATCTGTTGCCAATCCTCCTCTTTTTGCTGAGGAAGATTGGCCCTGAGCTAACATCTGTGCCTGTCTTCCTCTATTTTATATGTGGTACACCTACCATAGCATGGTTTGATAAGCAGTGCATAGGTCTGCGCCTGGGATCTGAACCTGCGAATCCCGGGCTGCTGAAGTGGAGTGCACGAGCTTAACCACTACACCACTGGGCTGGCCCCAGCTTCATACATTTTAAAAAATAAAAACTATTCCAATAAAGCAATGAGCCTCAGATATATTTAGAGAAATAAGTATATCTTCTTCTCTCACAATTATTTTCCTTCTTAGTTGCCACAGAAGGTCCCTTAACCTGCTGTTGTATTGCTAAGTGACTTAAGGTCTGGCTTGGGTGAGGCAAGTGAGAGACTTGCATTTAAATTTAAGGGGATTTAAAAAAAACTCAGTAATCACAATAATTAATGTTTTAATGCAATATTTAAAAAAAAAAAATGCAAAAAAATCTGTGGTGAAAAATATTCAATTTTTAAACAAAAGATCTGACCTTGTATTTGCACCACTCACCTCATTTGCCTCCTGTTGATATTGACCCTGTTTAAGTCTATAAAGCCTGTTTGGCCTATATGACAATTTTATGTTTGTAAGATATTAAAGTATATACCAGTTTACTTATCATGTTTCAGTCTGCTTGTTTGGGGATAAACCCAAGTATTTAGTAGAACAACTTAAGACAAAGGATTTTATATTTCAGTGACTTTACTTATATCTATCATGAAAGTTTTATAAGATGAAGGGTTTATAGAAGATCAGAACTTATACTGCTCTGGGACTTTTTGATGAATTTAATGGAAAATTTTCTGAGTTTTATAGCATTTAATTCTCAACTCTGGTAAAATAATAAACTTGGTTTTTCATAGAAAGATTATACATTCACTTCTGAAGTACAAGGCGTATAAACAGACCATCATCCACCTGGTAGTGGTGCAGAGCAGTAGGGGGAGGGAACATGGGCCTTGCAGATAAATGAGCATGTAGGAATTTGATGCATGGAGTTTAGAGCTATTTTTTATTTTGTAGAAGAGGAAATAGTGACATGTGTTTCTTAGTTTCATTCCATTCATAAAGGGTCAACAAAGACTCTGAGTTTTATACTTGTTAACTCAAATTTATAATCACTTTTTCTGTGTATCTTTTGAACCTACTACTTTTCAATTTTGCTTTCTCTGTAAACTTTGTTCTTTCTATACAAAAGAACCTTTATTCTCTTCAAAGTTCCTTCTTCTGTCTCTCTGGAAGTATAGAATTAGAGAAAGGTCCTCTGTGCACTAAGTGGACTTCTGTATGAAATGTTATAGAGGAAGCTCATACTTGAACAGAAATTATCACCAGACCACATTGGATTAATTTCTCCTCAATTTAATTGGATTGGTCTAGAGTTTTAGTAAATTCAAATTTCTCTTTTCTAGACAGTTTTAGGTTTGAGCCTGTTGTTTGCACAATGCTTTATTTTGATAAATGAGAAAAAATTGATGAAGCTTAGTAATTCTAATTAATTTTATCCTCAGGTAGAATACGATTTCCCTACTTAAGAAAAGTTAAAGAAAAAATAATTTGTAACCATGTTATCTTTGGTGTACTGGAATATGGAAGATATTTTTTAAATTAAAAAAGAGAGAGAAAAGTCATTTTCTACCTTTGCCTTCTGTTTTAATAATTTGTAAATATTGTCTTTTAAAATTTCCAGTAATTAAAATTCCAGTAAAGTAAACTTTCCAGTAATTGACAACGACCTGGCATTTGTGTCATCATTTCACTGAGATACTATTGATAGTGGCAGCTGTAGACTTCATTCACTGTGTTTTTTTTTTTGTTTTTAGTGATGATTTCTTCTGGGGTCATGTTAGAAGTGTGTTTGTAGCTTTTAGTCGTGAAATATAATAATGGTTTGATATAATAGGGAAGTAGGTAATTGTTGGTTAAGTAAAAATTCCTTCTAAAGTCTTTATCATTAGAAGAAAAATTTCTAACCTAGCTCCTAACCTAAAAATATGGCTGATTTTTTTAGAGTATAATTTTCTACCTACAGAATTTAAAATTTTGTAAGCAAAATTCCAAAAATATGCATGACAGAGAAAAGGGCACTTAGCAACTCTGTAGGAAATATTACATGGATGGTCCGTTGAGAAGAATGCTTCTCAGTATTTTTTAATTCCTGTTAGAACCATTGGAATTTTTGTTATAAGGGATTCCTTACTAAAGATCCATAGAATATGTGTGTTTATAATACTTCGTAGAAGTAATTTGTGAAAGTTTTTTTTTTGTTTCTTGAGTCTCTTACAAAGTACATATTTTAAATTTACCTCCTTGATCCTTTCTCAGAGCTATTGTTTTGCATTTGTGACAATGTATGTGATATTTCCAAATAAATTACTCTGTATTTTTGTAGAAAATAGGATGAGGTACTGAAACATAATGAGAATATTCAGTCTGTTTCACTTCTGTTGTGGTTTCTTGTTTGCATTAAAAAATTTTATTTCCCATAATAAGTTCAAACAAGAATGTTTGGTCAATAATCAGAATAGCAGCAAAATGCAGGAGGACTCTAAAATTTTGCTGGGGGTAATGGTGGGGAGGAAAAAGATATTTTCTCTTTCCAGTTAAAGCTTCAATATCCTTTAGAAATAATCTCCCCCAGAATGGACACAAGGGGAAAGTTTTTGAGACATTTCTGAACACATTTTAAGCATTTTTCTAACTATTTTAACTAGAGGTGCAGTGATTCTCTCAAGATATTATTTTGAGCTATTATAGGACAGAGTGATTATGCTGTTTTTCAGAAGTAGAGGAAATATATATGAAAGGCTTGAAAAATTAATATAATATAATTTGTGAAAAAATTATTCGTGTTGTGTGATGTTCTTTGCTGTCAATATTTATTTCTATAATTTTTAGTTGATAGAGTAATGTTTTGAAGAATGCATATTTATTGATTGGCCTAGAACAGCCAATTAGCATTTTACTATGCTTTTTATACAACTGCGAATTAAATCAGCTTATAATTATTTTTTAACAGGATGGTGAAGTGGATGCTGAAGAACTTCAGAAATGTTTGACACAGTCTGGAATCAGTGGAACTTATTCTCGTGAGATCTTTTTGTTTCCGCCCCCCGTTGAAATTGGAATAGAAATTCATTTTCAAACTTTTTTGTCCCCATACTTAAAATATTTTTAAAACATTATCACAGATATATATGTGCATAGTTTAAAAAGTCAAATAATTCTGCAAAGCTTGTTATGAAAATAACTATTCATTGGCCCTTCCTATCTCCCAAATGTTAACCACTCATAGAAGTATCATATTTATTTCTTCTTCCTTTCTTCTCCCCTCCCCTAAGGAAAAACAGTTGCTTCAGTTCAGAAGCTCATCTTTTTCTTACTTGGTCCATTGCCATTAACTACCAAATGATTTACCTACATCCAGTTTCATCTTACTATAGTTTGTTCATTGTAAACTAATGTTTCTGAAATGGACATATTAGAATTGCCCCTCTGTTCCTGAAAATCCTTTAGTGACTTCATTGGTCTAATCTTTAGGGTGACATTCAAAACTTTCATGATCTGGCCTTCATCTGCCTTTCTGATGTCATCATATGCCACTCCTTCACATATACCCCAAGCTTTAAGCAAATCTCTTACTCCGTCAAGTTTTGTGATCATAGTATATGCCAAACTTCTACTTAAACCCAACTTGTCATTTGTGTTAGGAAGCCCGAAGCTCGAAGTAATTGTCAGTTATTTTATAATTGCTTATCTAATTACCTAAATCCCCTTACTAGTTGTGAATAGTTTGAAGGTAGTAATTTTTATTTTAGTCTTTTTTTTTTTTTTTTTTTACTGTGGATGCCTAACATTTGGTCAGTTTGTTGATGGAGTGATTGTGTATTTTTGGCAATTTTTAAATGTTTTGTCTTGAAAATAGAGATTGTCATAATTTTACATAGATAAAAATTGGGCAGACTCCAATTCAAATAATAGATATGTTTTATAGCCTTCAGTTTGGAAACCTGCAGAATTATGATTGCCATGTTGGATGTATCCTTGAATAAAAATAGTAAATACTAGAATGTAGAATAATTGCTTTCTGAATATTAAGGCAATTCTTGGTTGTAAATGACCATAGTAAGCCAGAGAGTTTAAAAATACTTTGTAAGATTCTGTTTGAATTCCATACTTTTCCTTCTTTATACAGAAGTCTATTTGTATGCTAAATATGGCTAACTCTCACAGAAACATACCAACAATTTTTTAGTCAATGATTTGGAGTTTTGGGTCAGGAAAATTCTCTTTTTATCAAAATTTATTTTTCTTAATAAAACTATCAGAGAGATTACACAGGAAAAATGGGATTTAGTGAATTCAAAGAACTTTGGGCAGCTCTTAATGCCTGGAAACAAAACTTCATAGCTATTGATCAAGATCAGAGTGGCACAATAGAGCCTCATGAACTGAATCAAGCCATTGCTGCTATGGGTAAGAATCTTAACATTCTTTAGAATCTATCCAGGTCATCTTTGTTCTTTGATCAGATGAATCTTAATTGTTGCAAATTGCTGAGTAGTAAAGAGATATATTATTTCACAAGCTGTTAACCTAGTTTGATTTCAGGGTTGTAGGTAAATTTTGACTTAAGACCTTTAAGAAAACCATTTATCTGTGATTTTTTTAAAGGTGGTCATTCATACATTCTGCTTGCTAAAATAGTTTATGAATTTCCTCTGTTGATATTAAATTTATTCCTCCCACTTAGTATTCACTTACCATTTATATATTCTTTGGTAACTTGGTAAGATCTCTAATTTGACAGCTGAGGCTTATCTCAATCAATTACAGGTCTCCATATAATAGTCTAGCTTTTCAGCAGTAAAAACCATGTTTTTTGTTTTTCTTCTTTTTCTTACATGGTATAGAACACACAGTAGACACCAAAATGTCTCAAAATGGGAAGTCTGCATTTTAGAATATTTTAAAAGAATGTATCTTTATTTTTATCATATCTCTGATAAGGTTCTCAGTCTACTTTCTTTCAAAAAGTGATAATATACAATGGTGTTTAATTTATTTACAGTTAATGCAGTTTTAAGTAGTTTTCTTAATTGTGTTTACCTTTGTGATTTTATTTATACTCATTTCTAAATAAAATACATTTGTAGGAAAATTAACTATTTGAAAGCTAAAATCTGAACCCAGTGCAAATTATCTTAAATTCCAATTTAAAGAAGTCAAAACTAGTGATTTGTTTTGTTTTATAAGTAGATATTTTAATTTACTAGATGGTCATTTTAGGGGCAATCCTGGCCATATAAACATATAGAGCCTTAATACCCAATGGATTAAACTTGGTCCTTAATTCAGCATAATGTTGGAAAATTAATATAACCTTTTGCAAAAATGAAAACCACCAAAGAGTTCACTTAGGCAGTTGAGTGTGACAAAGAGGTATTTTGGATTATTCAAATTGAAGATCTTCAGATATATTTAAAAATATTTATATTATTTTACTGAGAATGCTATGGGAAATCTTAAGAATTTTATCAGTACCACATCCAGATGATAACCCTCTATTCGGAAGCTCAAAATACATTTGCATATAATTACATTAGTTTGCATGTTTTACTTCTATTAATTTATATCTTTCCTTTCATTTACTTTTAGCTAGTTTCCTGAATTACATTTTATTATAGCTACACATAGAATTTTCTCCTATTGCCTTTAATTTTTATTGTTTTCCCCTTTGAATGAATTAGTGTCTTTTGTCTAGATCTACTAATCCAGTGATATATAAAGACAGTACTTCTTGGCCAACATTCTTCACAGTAAAATGTACATGTCTCATTAAATGCACAGGACCATCTATAGGGGTGCAGAAAGTAGAATATATTAATTTATATTTCTAGTTATTTTTATTTTATTTAAATTTCAGTTTTATGTATATTTTAAAATGTAAATAATCAAACAGTAGTACATGTATAGAATTTAAAATTAAACTAATACACCTGTTATGGGAGTGAATGATGCAAAATGCTTTACTGATAGGAGTACACAATCAAAAACTTGGAGACCACAGGCCTAGACAACAAAGAACCAAAGAGACAGTGAGAAGGCTGTAGTTGAGATGAAAGTCTGTGAAGAAACAGAATAGGGGATATGGGACAAAAAAGAATAACATTTTCCTATTTCTTGCCCTTCTGAATAACCATGTTGGTCCTCAAATTTTCTTTGGCCACAGAAGACACTTGTAAGTAACGAGAAATATAGTATTTGAATGATAGCAAAGATCACTGATAATCTTTGCTTTGATATTCTTTAAAGAACTATAAAATTACAGAATTGATGAGTGAAGGGGATCAAAAGGTACAAATTTCCAGTTATAAGTCAGTCATGGGGATGTAATATACAGCACGGTGACTATAGTTAATAACAATGTATTGCATGTTTGAAAGTTGCTTGGAGAGTAGATCTTAAAGTTCTCATCACAAGAAAAAAAATGTTCGTAACTGTATGGGGACAGGCGTTGACTTATTGTGGTGATCATTTCGCCAGTTTGGTCATCTTGCCTATTGATCATTTGGATCAATATAAATTTTTGAATCATGTTGTGAAACTAATATGATGCTATATGTCAATTGTACCTCAATAAAAAAACAAAAATAAATAAAATACCTGAAGAGTAAAAAAAATAAATAAAATTTCAGAATTGAAATATTGAAGCATTAAAACTTATGAAATACCCTAGGCATTATTTCAAAATCAAAATATCTTTTAAAAGCACAAAAGGATAATTATTTTCTTTTCCTTAGATTTGACTTTATTACAAAGCTAGAATTGTGACATTTATGTACCACTTAACTATTAGTAATGAAGCTTTTGTCTGATCCATTTCATTAGGAATGTTTTTTTCCTAACATATTTTTATGGAATGTATTTTGAAAGTTATTTTACAACTTTATTAACAAGCATGCAATATTTGTCGTGGCGGTCTTATGGTGTTTAGTTTTAGAAGTTTTAATTTTATCAATCCCTTTTTTTAGGTTATAGATTGAGTCCTCACACATTAACTGCTGTTGTTAAACGTTATAGCAAGAATGGCAGAATCTTCTTTGATGATTATGTTGCTTGCTGTGTAAAGCTTCGAGCATTGACAGGTATTGACCATTTAAAAATGGGTACAGTATTATGTAGCTATTTTTCTTGAGTAATGTCTGTGGTTTTCTCCAGCAAGTTTATAATATCATGTGTTTTTCCCCTGTATTCACTATTAAATCTAATGAGAGTTGTAACGCTTTAATAGTGAAAAATTGTTATAGCTCTGTTTTGGAAAGTTTTCTTGATGTCTCAGTTGCCTGGGATATAAAATCACATAAGACTGAATTGAGTATGAAATTATTCATTTTTTTAGTTCCTGGGGACACCAAGTATTTGAAACTATAGATTTTAAATTATAATAAAAACGTAATTTTTTTTGTTTAAAGATTTCTTTAGGAGAAGAGACCACTTGCAACAAGGGGTTGTGAATTTCGTATATGATGATGTAAGTAACCTGATATTTTGGTATTTATATTGTATTTTGATATTTATACTGTGATCTGGATGTGTTCATAGTTATCAAAAAAATTTAAGTGATCCCTAGTACCAATACTGGGAATAATATATTTTTATAGACCATATTCTTTTTCCATATTTTTCAACTGAATGCAAATATAAGAATCAGTTTTGGTACAAATACCAACTTGACTTTATATTAAACATAAAAATACTTTTAAATTTTATGACAGGTTTTTGACAGTTTATCTTCCAAAGCATTTTTAAAGGCAAAACTACTATTATTTTTATAAGGAGTAGTTTACTTGTGGTGATCTTTCTTCTAATAGAGATAGGAAATTTTCATCTATGATAGATTATGAAGCTGTTCATTTCTCATTTCAAATGGTTGCTATTAACCTGATTCCAGTGGTTTTCTTTTTTAACTGAAGCTATAGGAAAGTTATATTTCACATGTACTTCAATGTTTCATGGTTTTCGTTTTTTGTTTTGTTTTGTTTTTCTTATGTGGAAGTTAGAGGGTCAACATGACCCTGCTAGTATATACTGGTTTGAATTCTAAGCCTTGGAAACTTCAAGTTTCCCCTCCTTTGAAAGTGCTTACAATTAAGCAAAAACAAAAACCATTTTATTGTTACCAGCTGATGATTTTGCTTATGTATTAGTTTTTGCAGTGCACTATGACAATTTGAATATCTGGAATTTGAAAGGTGAAGAAATACTGTGAATTTTTCTGCTTGGAAGAAATGAACTGGATCCCTTTGAATTAACACTTTTGGGGCTTTTCCATATTCCTACCTGTTAAATCTTTTCCCTTTCTATGTGTTTTTACTTTAGCACACAGTTCAAAGCAATAAAAGAGATGTTTTTGTATTTGAGATATTATTGCTTTTAGAAAAGTTATTGCTCTATAGATATCTGCATAATGTAATAAAATATTGGTATGATTAATTGATATAAATATCTCCTAACCTTAATTTTTAATAATATAAACCTAGAGGAATGTACTTAGAAGATAGATTATATAGGAAGCCAAATGATGAAAGCCTAGATAAAACTAATGTATACTTATCTGAAGGTTACAAATTATACTTTGAAATTTCATTTGTAGTTGGTGTTTCAGGGTGAGCTAGAAGGGGAATCCTGGATTTTGTGCTGTATTTGTAATAGGGTTTGTTCTTTGATCACATAATCAGAAAGCAAAGTCTTCACAGGTCTTTGCCTGTGAAGAAGAAAATTATAGTTCCTAAGATTTTATTTTAAATCACCTTAGGTGGACCATAAAATAATCTATATAGTGAAATAAGACTACAGGAGGCAATATTTTTTCTGTTTTCATTTTTGCATTGTATATTTTTCTTCAATGTTTTGTTGTCTTCTATGGAAAAAAAATTCTTAATAAACAACTTTTCTCTCTGCACTTTATTTTGTTAGTGAAGACATAGAAAACCTAAAATGGCATCTTTCTCTAAATCTAGGTTTTCTGGAAATGACACATATTTTTAATGAAAGGTCAACATTTAAATTTGTTCTGTTAAATTGAATTGTTCTTTATACATAATGTCAACTGTTTACAAAGTAAAAAAATCAAGTAATCTACCACTTTGTTTAAATGTTCAGAAATGATAAATTTGACTTTCTTGACAGCATTAACTGGGGGTTTTGGCATTAGTAAACCAGTAAGTCTTCTGAGCACGTCTGTGTAATGTGGGGTACAAGCATGGTAGGCACCACAGCAACATTTCTGAGTGGTATTACTATGGAAATTGCAAAGGGGAGTCACCAGGTCCTTGTCATTTAAAATCCCTGGTATAAGCTGTTATAATTAATCCAGCCCCTTTCTTGGCAAACATCTTAAGTCTGTCTTAATGAAGGTTTAATAAACCACATGTTTTTCTTATACTTTAACTGAATATCTTCTGGCTTAGAGGTGAATACAAATTGACATAATTTTAGTATGGCTGATGACCACATTAATATACAGTTTTTATAAAACTCTATGTTTCTTAAAGAATGGAGGATGAGTAGCAGTGTCAGGGAAAGGGAAATACTCCCTCTACTCTTCCTGTGTTCTTATCGCTAGACTAATAATAAAATTTACACCAGACCAGATTAACAGGAAAAAAACCCAATTTAATTGCATGTGCATAGGAGAATTATGAAAATGATGCTCAGAGAGTGGACGAAGCAAGCAGTATATATATATATATATATCTTTTTACACAGAGAAACAATAAATTTGTGAGGAATTGACAGGACAAAGAAACTTAGATTTGAGGTACGTAGTTAGTGAGGAATTTAAACAGAGTTAGGCTTGAGAGAGTAAATTAACAAGATTTGTTTATGCAGGCTTTTGGGCCCTGAATTCCCTAGCTCTGTTGATATGGATGCAGGGAGAGCACCTTTCACATGGGAGATTTATTTCCTGCTTTCAGAGACACAAGGGAGGGTCAGAGTGCTCTTCTTGTACTGGTTTGCTTCTCAAGTGACTTTAATTCAAAATAATATGCCATTGTGGAATATTTTGAGGCAGCCTGTCCTAGGCCCCAACAGCAGTATTTTGAACAAAACCTTTGATAAACTTATAGAATTTTAAATCAACCTTCACTTTTAAAAATTCTGGAAAGGAAGTAATAGTAATAGCCATTTTGACATTGATAATTTTATAAAATTAGCTGTCAAATTCATTTGGTCAGTTTTATAAAAATATGTGAATAAATAAGCCATATAATTTTGTCCTCTGGCTGTTAATTTTTTTTCACAAACATGTATTTGATAATGTGGGAGGATGTTAACTGAGCCATAAGAAAATACAGAATTCTGATTAGAAGTGTTGTAGGCAAAAGCTAATATAAACACACTGTATATCGTTCATGTTGAATAAAGGTGATAATGTGACACAGCAGCCTGGAGTCTTAACATCAGTTTATAGATGGTCCAGTTACTATACTGTTCTGAGGTCAGTTATAATTTTCCTTACTAAGAGGCTCATGGTTGGGGTAAAACTTTAAAAATGGCATATGGTGGGGCTGGCCTGGTGGCGTAGTGGTTAAGTTCATGCACTCTGCTTTGGCAGCCCAAGGTTCGCAGGTTCGGATCCCAGGTGTGGACTGATGCACCTCTCGTCAAGCCATGCTATGGCAGTGTCCCACATAAAGTAGGGGAAGAAGGGCACGGATCTTAGCCCAGGGCCAATCTTCCTCAACAAAAAGAGGAAGATTGGCAACGGATGTTAGCTCAGGGCTAATCTTCCTCACAAAAAAAAAAAAGAAAAATGGTATATGGTATTGTTCATATCAATTTCTGCCAAATGACACTTTGTATTAGAACTCTTTACACAATTCTCTAATTCATCCTTTTCTGAAGGTGTTCCTATATGACTTTTGGTCATATGAGGTCTGTGAAGGAGTTTCTATGGCCAAACATATCTGGGAAATTCTCACCCTCAGGGAGCTTAATAAAGCCTAAAGTACATAAAATCCTATTTAATTTTACTTGACCAAATTTTTTCCAAACTTTTTGACCACAGAACCCCTTTCTCTAGCAAAACTAATGTTCCGTGCCAATCCAACTTAATTGTCAGGCAGTTTTTTGCACTTTACGTTAAATAGATAATCTTATAAAAATATTAGGCATAGAGCATATTTTACTGGGATTTTTATACTGAAATGCAATTCACTTTTTTGATGCTTTTAAGATAATTGTTGTAACAAACATCCATTACTAAAGTAAAAATTAAACAGTTTTGTCACGAACATGACTAGAATATGAATATAGTGTGGTAGTTTGTACTGGTTAACTCATATCCACTTATGATGATGTAAATTATTGAAAAATGTACACTCTTAATGTTAAGTGCTTTTATTTATACAGTAAACATGTTTCCATGTCATTTTGAGAATTTTTTTAAATAAACATTCAAATAGCTTGCTGTAAAGTTTTGTATCATACAAAATCTGTTACATATATATGAGATGCTTCAGTTCAAATAACAGTGCAATAATTCACCTATGCCTAAAACTCTGCCAAATGATTAAATGTCACGTGTTGCACTTCTGTTTTGAGTGGGAGTTTACACATTTTAAATTACATCAAGGGGAAATCAATACTGTTGGAATCTTAATTTGGTCCACTTTAAATGTAATTTCAAGGACTGTGCTCATTTTATTTATAGGATGCATTCAGAAACAAAAAGTAATAAAAAGGTCGTGATATGTTTATTTCCAGAAAAGACATTTACCCTGGAAGAAAGTAGAATTTATTAATGTAATTTAAAGCCTATGTAATTAAAAAAATAACAAAAGTTAATTTGTAATTATTTAAGTAAAATATACAAATCAAGTTCACTTGTAATCTTATAGCATTACTAAACTGGACAAACAATAAATACTATTTGTCAGAAATGTGCTTTTCTTTGTCCTTTTATGTTTGACAAACTTATAGATGATATGTTTTCTATTTCCTTGTAGCAGTTTTCTGGGAAATTAATAGGAATAAATTTGTGAAAATATGATAAATCTAGCCAGTAAAATCCAAGACTTCTTTCAGGTTAGCATATTTTTCTTTTAAATTTTAAAATGCAACCATGGGTGTTTTATTACTTTGAATATTATATTAAAAGATCACAATTTTTTTGGACTTAATTCAATCAAATTTAGGTAGTGAATTAAGCACTTGAAATAAGTATACCATGCTAAGTTATCATCTAAGAGTATGTCTAGACTTCATAATAATATTAGATGATACCAAGAAAAAATAAATATTTAGAACTTCTGTTATTATAATGATGAATGCAGACAGGATTTTAAATGAATACTGTTCAGATGATTTGTAGTCTAGAATAGGGTCATAACATCACATATGTCCATTTATTAAATTAAAATTTTCCTGTAATTTAGAATACTGAGCACAAAACTACTTTCTAGCAAAACACTGGGAAACTTATGAAAAATTTATGTTTGACTCACTGTCAGCTCATTTGAATGCTGGGAAATTTTTGCTTTTAATTGTTTCTTGCCATGTCTTTTTCTACTTGTTTTAAAAACATATTTTACTGGCATGTAAAGGAAAGATCCTTATTTAACATTCCTTTTACCCAAGTAGCTTAGTAATACGCAGATTTGTGTTTTGGTTTGCAAGCATTCAAAACTTGGGTGTGCTTCTATACATCTGAATATACAGTAGGTCAATATTGGCAGCACTTCTATGCTACTGTGATGTGCTGTACAGTTAGGGAATGAGTAAGGTCCTTGCCTATGTGTTACATATGTTTTCAGGTGTGCCCTTTCTACAACGTCAGAGATGGCAATTTGGAAAGCTTACAGAGAGTGAGAATAATTGGGTAGGTCATCATTTAATAGCTATATTCAGACACAAGTATGCCAGGAATTAATTAGTACCTTCTGATACATGTGTGTGTTGTGGGGGGAGGGTCCCAACCCTTTCCTTTAAGCATAAAAATATAAATATGTCCTTTAAAGTTACATGCATACAGTCATTTGCAGTTTTTAGTTCATTGTATTAATCACATTTTATCTTGTTATGATTATTGCAATTTCAGAGGATAACCTGAACAGTGCTAGTTTGAATGCTCCAGAAACATACTAAAGATCCATACTCTTTTGAAAATTATAGGTCATTTGAAATGAGGATTAACTGAATTTTTGGATGGATATTTAATTTCCCAAAGCTGTCTAAATGCATTACCCCCAAATTTATCTTATGGCAAGAGACTTGAAGTTGTTAAATATTTAGCTTTTTCATAGTTTGATTCTCATTTTCTAATCGGCCTCACTTATAGCTATCAATACAATGCTTTGGTTTGGTTTTTCGTTTATCAAATAGGGAAATATTCTCTTGGTTTTTTAAACCAT